GCTGGGCCCAGAGTCCTTGCTTCAGGGCTAAGGAGGCAGGCTGACTTGGATCAAATCCCACGTACCCTGCCCAGCTGGTGACCTTGGGGAAGGTCTCGTTTTTTCCTCTAGGAGGGTCAGAAGTTATTGATATCAAGCACTTTCCACAGTGCTTTGCACAGAATAGACACAAACTTACTGTTAACTTTAGTTTCTGCAAAATATGTTGCTCGGAATTTGTTCAATGCCTTACCAAATCCAGGTTGCCTGCTTCTCCTGGCGTCCTGCACTGGTGCTTGTTCAGCACTGCTGTATCTGCGGAGGCATCTGTCAAGGGGAGGGCTGTTGTATTATCCTGGGCAGAACAATTTTCTGATCAAGGTTTAAGTTGAAACTTGCAGCCCTCCCTGCAGGGCTAACACATGGGCACCACGAAATACCCAAGTAGCGACATCATGGTAGCACCATGAAGTGTCTACACTGCACCCACATAGTGGAGACCAGGGTCAGTTGCTATTTAGCTATTTTGGGCCCCATCTAATTTAGGCTTTGCTATCTCATCTGACCCTCATGATAACCCTGTGAGATAGATAGCAACGATGAGTCTCCCATTTCACAGATTGGGGAGGGTGGAGGCCCAGGGAAGTAAGTGACTTGCCCAGGGTTACCTCTCCCGTCGGATGGAACCAGCCTTAGTGCAGGCCTTCTGCCCCTTGCCGAGCGCCCATTTGCTAAGACAGCCACCCTGTGTTGTGGAGCAGAGGTTGAGCCCTTGTGGGAGGGAGACTCCTGGGAGGCAGCCAGGCCGGAACCTGGCACGTCCTACAACAAGGTCTCGCACGCGCTGCATCCTGCCCTGCCCGTGCTGGAGCCAGGAAGACAGCCCTGCCCAGCAGCGAGCTGCCCACAAACAGCAGTTCTCTCGACCCGCGCAGCTCTCTCATTTACAGGAGTTTCCGGGCGGGCCCGATTTCCGTCTTTCTTGGTTTGACTGGCTCCAAGGACGCCCGCTCTGTTGTGTCAGAGACAAAGTACAGCCCTGTTCCAACTCAAGATATAGAATAACGTTTCTTATAAGTTAATCATAAGGGGGACTTTCTTAGTCAAAAGTTTTTACCAGCCCTGCGGGCTCAGTGGGAGAAACGAGATTCTGAGGGAAAAGTCGTCTGTTGTATGTCATTTTGGTGACTCATTGTCTGTATCAGATCAGATTGTTGAAATATGAATTGGAACTAAATTTAGTTTAGTACAGTTTTACTGTTTTGAAGGAAAACGGTGATGACAAAGCAGATTTTTTTCAGTTTACTGAAATCCCTGAGCATGATGGCATAAGTTCATAGAAAGGATGTTCCAGCAACTTCCATTTTCTATTAAAGAGCTAAAGAATTAAATCCAAGTAAAGAGAAGAGGAAGTGGAAATACCATTTGATTCTCCAGTGTGTGAGGTGCAGTTGGGGAGACTGTCCAAGCTCAGAGGCAATAGAAGAAAGGAAAGTATCAAAAGATTTTTAGCAAAAACAAATAAAACACTGTGTATTGAACAAAAAGCCAAAATTGAAAGGGAACTGCAATAAATATGTCAGAATGATGTACAAGTTGCATGTGAATCTGTAACAAAAATTCAAGATCAATAAATAACAGCAGGTGATATCCATACACCATAAATGATGAAAGTCACTAGACAAACATGGGAAACGTTTGTCCTCACTAGGAATCAGAAAAATGCAAGTAAAAAAGAGATCACATTTTTCTTTATTAAATGAGTCATTTTTTAAGTTGACAAACTTGGTGTTAGAAAGGCAGACAACATCGGTACTCTCATTCATTGACCAGATAGCTATAAAGTAGTACTAACCTGTCAGGAATCATTTAGACAGTGGGTATTAAATGCCTTTAAAATGGTCCTCCTTAGTGACCTAGGAATTCCAGCTCTAAGAATCCAACCCAAAAGTGAAAGTCTAAGAATGAAAAACCATTATGCACAAATATATTTTTAGCAGCATTATTTTTATATCAAACCAGGAGGCAAATTAGATGTTTAGATGTCAGGACATGGCTAAGTAAACCATAGCTTATCTTCTCACTGGAGTAGTATGAGAATGTAACAGTATGAAAAATGTATATTAAGTAAAAAGGATGCAAAATTGAAATATGGTGCGATTTAAAAAACAATGTATAAAAAGGTAAGGTTGAAAATTTATATCCACACAAAAACCTGCTTGTGGCATCTTTATTCATAATTGCCAGAACTCAGAAGCAACCAAGATGTCCCTCAGGAGGTGAGTGGATGAATAAACGGTGATACATCCAGACAGTGGAACACCATTTGGTGCTAAAAAGACATGAATCATGAAGAGACACGGAGGAAATGTGAATGCATTATCACTGCGTGGAAGCAGCCCGTCTGAAAAGGCTGCACACTGTGTGATTCCAATGCTAGGACATCCTGGAAAAGGCAAAACTATGGAGGATAGTAAAAGGATCAGTGGCTGCCGGGAGGAAGGGAGGGATGACTGGGCGGAGCACAAAGCAATTTAGGGTAGCGACACTACAGTGATGGATACATGTCGTTACAAATTTTTCCAAACCCATAGCATGTACAGTGCATTTAGAGGGAACCCTGATGTGAACAATGGACTGTGAGGAATAATGATGTCAGAGTAGGTTCATCAGTTGTAGCAAATGTACCACTCTCCCGGGGATGCTGGCAACCTGGGAAGCCATACCTGTGTGGGGTGGCGGGTATACGGAAACTCTGTATCTTCCACTCAATCTTTCTGTGAACCTAAAACTCCTTTACAAAATAAAGTCTTTAAGAAAAAAAAGCAAGGAAGAGGAAAAAGTGAAAATATTTACAAAGGTTGTGTTTTGGTTATGATAGACTTATTTTCTTTGGTCTCCATGCCTGTAATTACCATTTTAAAACAGGAACATGAATTATTTTATAACAGAGAGAAGAAACAAACATTTTAAGAGTTTAAAAAGCTACAGAATGAAGGTGAACATGTGGTTGTGTACTTAAGCAGTTCTGAGAGTTTCTCATCCCTTGTTTGCTCTTAGTGGTCAAACTTTTGTAAATTCACATTCCTTTTGGCTATTTGTGAATTTACACAATTGACCCTGTACTCTAAAGCTAAGACCAGTTAGAATTTCTGTTCCTGATAAAAATAAGCCATCTCTGGGGAAGCTCAGTGGGAACTGTATTCTTGGAATTTTTCCCACAATGTGTGATTCAGTCTTTATTTGTTTTTAAATATCTGAGACTATTATTAGAATAACCTATCTCTTACTACATATATGTATATATTTGCTTGAATTATAAACATATCTGGTCATAATTCTGCCTGTCCTGTCTCCCATCTGTTTAGTTCCTCAGCAACCTCTTTCTAGGGAACCCCTATTTTTAAATTCTTAGGAATATATACAGAGATTTTTTTACCCATGTGCGAGAAAATACTAACATATATTATTATTTCCGCCTATTTTTATACAAAAAGTAGCACATTTTACACATGGTCCCACTTGACAACGTTCTGGCGTTCCACTTAACAATGTATCTTTCCTTATCAGGACAGAAAGGGCTTCTTTGCTCTTTGCAGCACTGGGGACCCCCAGTGTGGCTTTACCATGGCTACTCAACCAGCACCCTTGTGGCCTGGGCTGTTTCTCGTCTACCGCCATTACAAACAGCGCCGTGGTGGCCAATCTAATACATGCCTCATTTCATACATGCAAGGGTACCCACAGAATGAATTCCTAGAAGTGAAATTGCCAGGGCAAAGAGTCTAAGCTTCTACAATTTCGATAAATTTTACTATATTATTCTCTGTCCCTGCACCCTTACCAAAAGAGCGCTTTGCCTCAAATGTGATTGTAGCCATTCTGATTTGTGAAAAAAGAAGTGAGTACATTTTAATTTGAATTTCTTTCTCATGAGAGAGCATTAGCATGTTTTCACGTGTGAAAGAGCCTTTCTGTTTGTGTGAAGACTGCTGTTCACCACCTTCTTTCATTTCGATGATTAGGTCATATTTTTATGGATTTCTAGAAATTCTTTACATGTTGGGGAGATAGCTTCTCTTGGTAACTGGCCCTACCTGGCTGGAACATGTAGCTGAGGATAAGAGATTCTAAAAGGTACTTCCCTCTGGGTTGCCGGGGCCAAAAAGCATTTGGAGTAAGACTGATCGCCATTCAAGAAAGTTTGTGGGCGCCATCCCACGCGCAGCACGAAGAGCAGGTTTCACATCAGGGCAGCCTGCGTTTGCAGCTTTCGTGTTTGCTGCTTACCAACAGTGTCACCTAGACCAATCAGCTAGCATGTTTAAGCCTTAGCTTTCTTACCTGTAGTATAAAAAGGCTATCAGTCCTGTCGCTTTGGGTCGTCGTGGATGATGTGCAGAAAGAACCTGACACTGCGGTGATCACGCCGGGTCAGGCAATCGGAGACACAGCACTCCTCGGGTGAACTCACTTCGCCTGTACTTCAGGTGAAGGTACAGCAGGAGAAAGCTCAGCATCGTGAGGGCATCCCAGAGACTTCCAGGTGCCACTCCCCAAGGCCTTTCTTAGTTGCTCAGGAGGTGTTGTGCTTTTGGATTATGAACCCCAAAGACATGTGTGAGGAATCTCGGTTTTAGGGGAGCTTAAGCAGAAATTTCTAGTGGTATCTTTAATACCCTACTGGTGATGTAGCCAAGCCAGACTGTGTAACCAGTTAAACCAGGTGTAAACCATCAACCCATACGTCCATAAACAATGTAGACAAGCTGGCCCCGGGTCCCTCCAGGGAGTTTTGAACACTAAACAGCACATTGTAAAATCATCCTTCTTATCGTAGCCAAGGGTCAGTACCAGGCTTCCAGCCATCCCTGGAGATAAGCACAGAGCAATTCCAGCCCGGCTGTAAGGTAGCCCTCCCTTACACAGCTACACAGGAAGCGCTACAAAGCTTGATTTTTTTCTGATCTCCTTTGCAATAAACCTGCCTTTGGCTTAACCAGGACCTTGTTCTTCCGCAGCTCAGGGGAGACTGTCACCAGTGTGACCAGCTTGGCTCCACTGCAGCCCAAGAAGGGCAAGAGGCGGAAGGAGAAGGCTGACGTTCCTCCTGCAGTCCCTGCCAAAGGTAGGAAGCTGGCCTGCAGTCTCCCATGTGGAAACCGCCATGACTGATGCAGGGTGGGCCTGGGGTTCCATGTGGGATCAGGACAGAGGGCATAGGCAGATGGAGGACATGGCGTTTAGTGTCATATGGTCTGGAGAGCCCACCTAGATTCTGGTCATAACAGCCCTAGCCCAGCCCCTGGGTGGAAGTAGGTGTGCACCATGGGCCCAGCACAGCACAGCAGAAGAAGGGTCCACAGCGACAGGTGAGCCCAGGCTGTATTTCACCTCGAACTATTACAGTGCTCTACACATGGCGGGGTGGGGCAAGGGAATCCTCGTGGTTCGTTCAAGCGAAAGAAGGCTCTCTGAATTTTTAAAGATGTCAACCAGAGATACAGTTTATTTTAAATTTGTTCTGAGGATAAAATGAGCGTTATCTTGCAATTCCAGTTACGATTTTTAGAGCAACACGAGTGAGGAGGATGGGTGTTCTGGAGGAAAGAACTGCACAAGTACTAGGAGAACCAAGAATGTCTAGAGATAATTCCTAAAGTAACTGGCCATTTCGGAGACGTTCATACCTCAACAAATTTGAAACATAGTTGGGAATACAAGGATTGCCCAGATGAACAATTTAGTAACAAGACAAGATGGATTTTATCTCTCAGTTGGGGCTTCACAGGACATCCCCCAGGGACCCGTTGAGCCCCGTGGGGAAGCCAGTGGTGCTGCCGAGAGAGAAGGGGGCATGGTCGCAGTGGCAGGCAGGGGTAGCGCAGGAAGGCAGCGGAGAACACCTGCCCTGGGCCAGCATCCTGCTGCTGTGTGTCTCATTCCCTCTGGAGTAGCTGTGACTCCACCTTACAGAAGACGCAAATGGGACGCAGAGAGCTCAGTGGCGGGGCCTGGCTTTCGATGCCAAGTTCGAGTCCCAGACGGTT